ACCTCCTACAGATCATACGCTGATTGATCACAAATGGGTGTACAAGCTGAAGGACAATCCATCAAGAAATGAGGCAAAAATCTTCAAAGCTAGGTTGATGGCTAGAGGTTTCATACAAGAGAAGGGCATGAACTACAACGAAGTTTTATCACCTGTAGCTAAGTATGCTACAATGAGTCTGGTATGTGCACTGGTTGGGATATTTGATCTTGTTATGGATTAGATGGATGTGGTTACAGCCTTTCTTTATGGATATTTAGAGGAGTAGATCTACATGAAACAACCTGTTGGTTTTGAAGTCAAAGGCAATTAGAAGTTGGTTTGTAGATTGCTGAAATCATTGTATGGACTGAAGCAAGCTCATAGGCAGTGGAACACACGATTTGATGAGTCCATGAAGTCACAAGGTTTTTTACGCAGCGTGTATGATCCTTATGTCTACATGAAGAAGGTAAATGATGAGACACTCAATCTCATCATTTTAGTATTCTACGTTGACGACATGCTCAACTGGTGAAAAACCAATCCGATGTTGATGAATGGAAGAGTAAGTTGAAGTCTGCATTTAAGATGAAGGATATGGAGGAGTCGAAGAGGATATCAGACATGGAGATCCATAGGGATTATGAACATAAGAGACTATGGTGGAGTCAAGGCAAGTATGTCTGTTGTATACTTGACAGGTTCAACATGATCGAGTTTAAAGGAGTATGGACTCCTTCGGCGGCACATTTTAAACTCTCTACCGCTCAATGTAATATCAATGCTGTGGAAAAAGGAAATATGTCATGTGTTGCCTATGAACAAGTCGTAGGCAGCCTCATGTATTTGATGGTGTGCATTAGGCTGCACATTGTTTTTGCAATGGGTACGGTGAGTAGGTATATGTCAAATTCAAGGAAAGTTTACTAGGAAGCAATGAAATGAATTATGAAATAGTTGAAGAGTACCTTATCATGGAAATGGTATTGAAGTAGGGCATGATTAATCTTTATTGTGATAGCCAGAGCGCTTTACATTTGGCTGCGAACCAGGTCATGGATAGCAGAGTGAAGCACATCGACATCAGGTATCATTTTATCAAACAAGCAGTGTATGATAAAACAATTGAGCTAGTCAAGATCTACGGTAAACTCAATCCAGCTAATGCTTTGACCAAAGTTATTCTTTTGGAGAATTTCAGGCGACACTGTGCATATTCTACATGTGCATGGGGAGCACATGTAGAATTTGCTAGCATAATAACTTTGGTTATCTCTTTATATATTTACTCTATTATGTGATGGCTATGGTTTAGCTCAAGTTAACTCTTGTGTAAAGAGATAGCTTGTATTAAGTTTCTGTCTAGAATTTATCGGGAAGTGATTATAGAGACTCTCTCTATGCAAGCAAGTTTTCTATTTATCTCTTTATATTATTACTCTATTTTGTTATGGCTACGGTCTAGTTGTAGTTAACTAGGCCTTTCCTTACATGAGGGGCCTTGTGTTAAATTTCTGTCTAGAACTTTCCGTTGAGTAATAATATGGGTTACAGAGGATACTGTTTCCTTAACACGGATTAAAGTGGAGATTGTTGAGGTTAATTCCGGTTAAGGAGTAACCTCAGGTTATAGCTATTTATAGCTAGGTGTGGCGCTGGATTTGGATATAAATATATCTCCAAGACCAAGGCTTCTCTGAAAGTAGTACTGTGTATTCACTTGTTAGTAAAACTTCTCGCGCGTTTCAACCGTGGACGTAGACTTTCAGGATGAACCACGTTATATGACTGTCTCGTGTGATTTGTACTTAACTTAAGGTTTTACGTTAAGACATATGTGTGAAGATTTAAACTATAATTCATAAGAGAAATATTTTATGACTCTATGTATATTCATTAGCTTGTAAAATTATTTTTTTGATATGATATTTGTGTTTAAATCATCCTATTTAAAATCTACAAAAAAAAAATTGGATTAATTGATTATTAGTAACATAGATATTTGAATAAAAATTTTTAATATTCATATATCAGAATAACATATAAATGAAAAACATAAATTGAATTTTTCTCAGTATTCAAAATAAAATTTGAAAACTAGAGTTTAAGAGATATTGTTTGAATTTACACTTTTCAACTACTTTAAAAGAATAAAAGTTCTAATATATGAAGCTGAATTTTAGTAAATTAAAAAATTGATAATAAAAGTACTCAATTGGAAAGTTTGAACCCTAAAATATTAAATTCTCATCTCTTCTGACAATATTTCTTAGAAAGATTCAATTTAAATCGAAAACAGAAATTAATAAAATATATTGTTGCTTGATTTGATTATATTATGTTATGATTTTTTCTAACAATATTAAGATTTCTCTTTTAGATCAAAACTGAGTTCAATTGTATAGTATTTTTATATGCATCATGATTTACATGTTTAGATGCATTATTCTCCTTTATGCATTTTATAATTATATTTAGGACTATCATTCTCTAAGCCGGAACCCGAAAACAAACCGGAAATTTGTTCACTTATGAATAAATAATAGTTTATGAACATTCCGTTTTGATAAAATCAATGTGCTAACGTTTATGTTACTGTGAGGTCGAATTCTTTTTAATATTTTTACTTGAAAATTTCTGTGCCTTTTATTATTTCCTTCAAGTAACATTGAACAATATGATATGAATACTATTTTGTTACTTGTTACCAAATTGTAACTAAATGAAGAGAGCGATGTTCAAATCACATATCAAGCTAGAACTTTTGCACAATTAAGCTCCAACTCACATAGGAGAAAATGTGTTCAGAACCTCAAGACTAGGAATCAAATTGCTTTCACACTTCACTGAAGCTATGATTATAATACTTTAACCATGAAGGAAATTTCTCATCTGAGCTGCAAGAATTGAAGGCGGAAAAGAAAGTAGATTGGACAGAATTGATTCATAACTTAATTTTTGTCATGTTTATTCTTACCAAAGCAAGATTTAAACTTATTTTACCAAATGAACTACTATGTTGGGCGAGTTGATTGAGTATATTAATAAAATCAATATTTACCAAATATCTGGCATGTCACGATCTATATATATACACACTTCCAACTCGTTATTGATATAGACGCGAGTTGAAAGTGGTTATAGTTAATTATTGGTGGAATATGATCTAGAATCTAAAATGGATCTTGAATCTTATTTATTTATCTTTATTATGTGACAGCTTCCTATCTAGAAATCCATTTCGACTGGACTCCACTGCATTGTATAGTATAAGCTCGCATAGGTTTTCAGCTCTATGGTGTTGGTTCACATGTTAATAGTATCCGTCATCATTGTTTTAAGTGTATGCTTGGTCTTGCAAAGTAAATAAATAACTATTTAACTACAATTATCTCCGCCCAGACATTGGATCAATGTTACGGTAAAGTTCAATCATTTTACAGTGAGCCATCCTCATATCTCCTATCTTCTTTTTAACCCTTTGAGTTTGTTTTAATCTTCTGTCCTCGAATATTTTTCCTTTTATGTTTGAACTTAACCCTATGGGTCATATTCGTTTATTTTATGGTCTCAGTTATGGTATGTCTTATGGTTCGGGCGGCATCGCCTTGTCAAACACATGCTGACATTTCTTCCCACCTATGAACCAGTCATAGCAGTAGTGCGAGATCAATGAGCTTTAAAACACGAGTAATTCTTCTTTCTGTTGTCACTAACAATGGGTATCATTTGTAAACCCAGACCTTTAAATAGCACCAAACCAAGTGTATCAAAGTCAAAACCTGCCTGAAAGTTCTCAAACTTGAAGACAATCCAACAACACTACTACATATCGAGAGACGACAAGTGGATACATCCCCATTACAACTAATGGTTCTCACCACTTTCGTGAGAGATCCTACCACACTAAACATGTACATCATTTCATGTGGCGTACAGCGAAAATAAGATTAGCCTACACAGTATCTTAAAACTATTCGAATGTGGAGATTCAAAGGTGATTTATGACAACTGTAAATATTTTCTTGGTCAATGGCTTGATAGTGTTTTGTTATTTTCTTCCAAAAATTGAAAACCCCTTAGTACTTCTTCTTAATTTTCTTTATGGGGTGAAAAGTTAGCGTCGAAGAATAACTTACTTTCATAATTACTCTCGGTGGAGGTAAAAAATGTTCACCCAATCCGAAAGTCGTTGATTTTCGGATTTTGCTCCTTTGCTCATGGCAGTAGAAAACTGAGCATGCAAGCACCAGGCACTTAGTGGACAGACGTACAACAGACCAGCATGCTCGACAGAAGAAAAACCCGATGGAATCCCGCCGCGTGCTTTTTATATTGACGTTAATGCGGTGAAGCAAGGATCGGGACATTGATTATATGAAACATCACTACCTTAATATACCAGAAAAACCCGTCGACAAGCGTTCGGGTGGTGGGATCCACGGTGGTGATATGACGATGGCGACCCCCGCCCCTGTGCACAAGATTCTATTACAAACCACATGATCCTCTCTCAGTTCGAAGGATACAACAGTAAGGGGCTTTTCTAGTCTCTTATCAGCTCAGTGTGTATGAATGCAACGAATGGTTTGACAGTATATGCAGACTGTCAGGTTAACGTTTTTAATGTAATCCCACGAGTGTACAAATACAGATCCATGCTCATGTTCCGCCGCGTTGGACCATGTTTTGGTTGTCGATGACAAGGTAAAATAATGACAACCATATTGCTGTCATTTGCGTATTGAATACCTTCTTCTTTGCATATTTTTCTACAGGTATATTGATACCAATTCCATCTCACTACCTTCAGGCAGTGGCGTTGACCAGGTCTCGGACTTCCCAGATGTTGTGTGCGCATTTGTAATAGCGAGTATAGCATGATGAGCCCACGTCACGGCAGCTCCAGATGAAAGTAGAATAAGGGTATTTAGAAAAGGAAATATCCTTGTTTATCACATCCTCACTGACTGCAGAAGCAGAACCACTTGCAGAAGCTTAACACAAAAGACAAGGAATCGGGTATCATCTCGAGTGGTTTTGATTTTATTCAAAACAGGTATAACCATTACGTTACAAACCTACAGTACAAGCCCTGAAACAATGCTGGTGGTACGGAATCTGCTAACCGCCTCTTCAAGCACTCGATTCTCCAGTATTTATTATTTGTTATTTCTACATATACAGTCGAAACGCCTGTTCATGTAGAAATTCCCGACAATGGAGGACATTTTCCTTTTGCCACCAGGTCATTCTAAAATCAAAGACTGTCTTCATTTGAAAGATTCTCATATCCTGCCAAAATGACGACATAAAAGGCTTTAGTAAAAAATATTTGTGCAAAATAGAATATACATTGGCACACGACTTGGTCATACTCTCATGGAGCTGCCTGATGCTGTGGCGTATTTACCCACAACATAATTAACACGAGGCCAATTGTGTTAGTGTCACGAAAGAAGACGACATAGAAGTATAGTAGTTATTTTGTACACTCAAGAATCTTACAATATTCGATCAGCGGTACGTGACAAGTAAATTGGGTCCACTTTGGCCGAATAGAGTGTCTGTGTTATCTGCTCCATCTCTGCTCCAAGTGTGGTAGCATGGCCTACTTGGATATTCCGAGAATATTTGGAGGATATCTAAGAGAATAAGTTCGCTTGTTGTAAAAAGGGGATATGTGATGAGTTCATCTGGTCGAAACAGAGATTCCGAAAAGCTTCTCACTCTACGGCTATAGCACCAGAAGCTACACTGGCGCCAAGCTCCGCAGCGCAGGAGTTTCACCGTGGGTTAAAACCGCGACTTGCGCCGCAGGTAATAACTTGAGGTCGTGGAATAAAACGAGCTCGATAAGTAGTTTCTACAAACAGGATTTGGGCTACTAGACAGGAAACCTCTGATTACCTTTCAAACTCGATGCGGTACTTATAAACAGTAACCGGCGTTGTTGTGTTGAACATTTCCATTCCTTCCATCGGAACGGCAAATATGGACACTTTTTGAATCGCCTGCAAAAGGTTGTTTCCATATCGTTACAACTTCTAAGGCTGCACTCTAGGCGTTATCCTAGATTTAAGAATAAATCGAAGAAGGCATTCAACAAATACAGAAGACACCACCACCCATGTACGACAAGTACCTCCATTTTCGTGACAACGGGTGCTGCGGTATCCCAATGGTATCTTGTCAAATTTAGACTGGCCTGATTCACACACAAATGAGAAGACGTGCAATCGTTATTTCTAAGCTGTCATTCAATACACTAGAAAGTGAACTTCTGTGGTATAGTGAGACAGAAAGATATAGCTCGCTACAGTACAAAATGAACAATATATTAAAACATAACATACAGAGCGGTTGAATGACTGAAATTTGATTCGTATATTTTACTTCTTCTTCGTCACGAAGAGCTTATTTCAGGTTCACCTCTTGCATAAGAACAAAAAGTATTTCGATTCCAACAATCAAGTAGGTTCACGGAGTACAAAGGATCAATCCAGACGTTGAGTGCGCGTGCAACGCATACCTTAACGGTAGGTGGTCCATCTTTGATCGCACTATTGTCAAACACCTGTTGAAGACAGTGCAATACAACGACAAAACTGCTCAATTTCTGTTCAGAAGCAAGTTTCCAGAAAAGTACAACAGAAACCTTCTCACCAATAGATAGTCAGAGATGATTCTCAATAATCTAAGAATTAACTATGAGAAACGAAGAGACACACCTTAGCTAAATAAATTCAAGACAAGTACCTGTTTAGAAAATTCTGAGGTGTCAAACTGATCCACTTGGAAATATTCTGCTGACCTCTTTGTTACGAGGTTTTCGACCTGTGGCCAGTGTATTATAAGCTTAATTATCAAGGTGCTCCATTTCTTTCTACAATATTATGATAGCGGATACAGCTCTCACACTTGCAACATATTGGGTAAATAGCTTAAACGGACGAGAACTGCAAGAAGTAACGATACCTTTGTTCCTCCTTTCAGAAGAAGAACTAACCGGTTAGGTTGCTGGGGACTCCACTGACCCTCTTCAATCACGTTCTTGCCAACTGTTGCTTCCACCAGTGACTGAATAATAAATGCCAAATCACAAGTTAGTATAATCTCGAGTAGACAACAACTAGGGGTTACAAACAGTTTTGTAATTGTAAGCTAAATCACCGACAATAGTATCACACTAACCACTGTACACCTAGGTGCATCTTCTCACAGGTACATTCAGAAACAAATCATTATTGGAAACTAGTATCTCACCGTGGTGGTAAAGAGTCGGTCACATATTACTCGTCCTTCAAATGGTGTAAACCGAACCTGATAAGGAACCTGCTTACATCCTTACAGACATAGCATAAATCAGTCGAAAAAGAAACAGTAAGGCGTTCAATCTATTAGAGTAACTATTATTAAGGTATTCTGTTTTTAGTTTTTCCTGAAAAAGAAAAACAATACATCGACCTGCAATATGTACGTCCATAGGGTTCTGAACGTACATACATTAACTGTACCTAATATGGACAATAAAAAAGGGGGCGGCTAGTTATACCTCACCTGGGGCTAATTAGCGCTAATGTTACTATATGGACGTAACTCGTTGGTTTGCTCGGGTTATAGGGTCACTGCGGTGAAAAAAAACTGTTTGTCGATTCCAAATTGCCCTCACACATGCCGCTGTATTAGTTAAGGTAAGTGAGGTGGCTGAGGGCCCTTCAAATATCATATATTTATGGCCGGACCAAAATCGCAACGGCACTTGACAGGTAACCATTCAAACCAATGAGTTCTGCCATCCGAGCTTGTAAAATTACCCCATGTAGCTTTCTTCTTGCGGGTGATAACTTCGTTAGGTTTCGTGTTGCTTTTGATCGAGCTAATGGTTCAGTCCAGCAATATGCTGGATTCATAAAGTTGCCTGGGTTTTACTCGAGTATGAGCTATTGTTCAAGTATCAGGCTGGGCACACTTTGGAGGTGCCATTGGTGTCTAATGAACTCTGGAGTCGACCCGAGTTCCTGGAGCATGGCAATGTAAGGCCTGTGAAACTATAAAATGCTAGGCACAAATATGCTCTAGATTTGGGGAAAAGAAACTGTCGATCAGAAAGACTAGAAACTCGCGAAGTTTTTTTTTCACCTAACGGACCCTATAACCCGAGTGCACCAATGAGTGACGTCCGTACAGTAGGGTGAGGGCTAATTAGCCCCAGGTGAGGGATAACTAGCCGTCCCCTAGAAAAAAAACAGAGTAGGTCAAACATATATAACCTACCGCATAACCCAGCTGCTTTCGAGAAAACTCTACACTTCTTCGATCTGCTTTGTCCTCACCCTGGAATCAAAAACAGAAAAATATCACTTCGGCAGGAGTGAACAGCTATGATACTAAACGGTCGACAAAATGATCTACGCAACCCACTCTATGCTTATTCATCGGCAAAACGACCATGGTTGATCGTAATAAGCTAACCTGGGGTGTAGTGACCTGTATTAAAGTTGAGTAGCAATTCCACGTTCCTTCGAAAAACCTACAATACGACGCAAATTACATATGCCATAATCTGTCATAGGATGCAAGATTTCTTTCAACCAAAACCTGAAATAAACAAGAAGACCGGATGTAAAGGTTATAATGAATAGGCAGTTGATGCGTCCCAATCTTAGTGCAAAACAGTATATCAAGACAAGTAAGTTAAGGTTATAGTTAGCTTTCGCATTTAGGGTATTAACCCGTCTTCATTAGCATTTGGCATGGCTACCATGGACTAGGAATAAGCGCATGAAATTCTAAAGGGGATGTTATCTGCTTACGGCTGTCAATCCAATCCAAGACACTATAGAACAACTCCCTATCTATATGTGACCAAACAAAAGACCAAAACAAGAATCATTGCAGACAAGGAATGGAATTTAGCCAAGATTCTGATAATATTTTGTTGGTCAATTTAGCAGACGAGTTACCAGGAGAACACTTCCATTATGATTCGAACAGGGAGGTCAATCAGCTCTGCTACAGCTGAAGAATCCAGCGATAATTATTATAGCCTTCCAGAAGGAGGATTGGATTTCGAAGCGGAGAGCAGTTGGGTACCACTCTCAAGAAAAAGAAGAAAATTTAAATGTATGTTTCAAGCCTTTGGGAAAGTCGATGACGCTTAGAGATAATATTAAGAGTGTAAGACTGTTAGACAAATGAAAGGAAAATTTGAAATTTTCCGTTATTGGGATCAAGTCTAAATGAAACAGCCGGTATTCTATATGCAATTACTAAATGCATGTTTGGTCAATGATTCATTGACTGATCGCATGTACAAAGCAGTTCATAAGACACCATAGGTGAGAGGTAATCACATTTTACTCCATATTACCGTACAACGGGGATCTTGCTCTTAAACATCATGGTGTCTGTTGTGTAAGTTTGAGGTACAAGTCAGTGACGACATTGAAGGACAAGAATTAAGAAGTAATGGTGATGACAATCGAGGAGATCATCAATCACCAACTCTAGTACAAAGGAGAGAACATACGCTGGATAGTAGATGTCGGGATCTCCGATACCCAGGCTTCGAAGGAGCATGTTGGAGTAAGGGGCAGTTTGGGCAAGAAGAACGGAAGCTGAAGCAGGATATTCGTGCAATGCTGTTGCGAAAACAGGCACCATACAGAAGAAACGTCTATTGACGGTCGTTCCACTTGAATCTCTAGACTCTGCAACCTGCCTTTCAACTGCCAAGTGATTCAATTGCTGCCGCCAAGTGAAATTCAAGAGAATTCTCAGTGAGCAAAATTCTAAATTCATACTTTCACCACTCTTTCGCCATCGCTGGTTTGAGTTGGGCATTATATAGAAAATACATAACCCAAAGTCAAACGCAAGATTAAAAAGGCAGTGAAGAGAAAACCATAAGTACGAAACGATTCTTTGAAATCTGGGAAAGTCCCAAAAAGAGCATCCAACCTGATGATTCCCTCCACCACGTGAATGGAGATCAATGTCTTCGAAGTTCGAGCAAGAGGTACACCTCCATACGTGGGAACTTCTTGAGGTGCAAATATTATGGACCACCTTCGTACCCATTCTCAGCTTCCTCGGTTCAGTCCTCGACCGAGAAACAACACACTCAGGCGCTCTCAACATCTCCGCGACAGAGCACAGGCTTCCCGGCGAGCACGTCGTCATCATCATCGAGGCTGCCCGAAGACACAGAAGCAATCCAGAATCTGTAATCAGTATCACAGCGAGCTCACGACGCAGGCTGCGTACTGAATCCGGGATTTCTCTGCTCGCAGAGCAATCACATCACAATCGAACGCTGAGTCCCTTCCCGACCGAAAATCTGAACTCCGCAACGCGACAAACGAGAAACTATGCAAGGCTTCAGAATTGAACACGTCAGGTCCGAATGTCGATGCGAGGCGCAGTGCGAAGCTGACGTAGTACCGTCGTTCCTGGCCCTATCTTCGCGTCCCTCGTTGACGGTACGTCGACCGCAGTCGCGAAGATGTTGCGAATGCATGCTTTCGAGACGAGTTTGCGAGTGCTCATGTGAAGAGTCCGCAATCTACCCAAGGCAATATCACCATTGTGATCATTACCGACGGCGACGGTCAGTGTGGTCCATCGCCGTTCGGGCCCGGCCTTCGTACACCTGTCGAGTCCCATCCGCAATTGGAGATCGTGATTTGTTGAGAACTCAGATGAACTCAACGCGCTGACGTGGACTGGAAGCCCGAAAATCAGTGCATAGGTCTATGCTGCTCAAATTTAAATTCCACCAGTAGTCGGTGGGAGAGGAGAATACCATCTCAGACGTCATTGCCAAAATGTTAAACAAATCATGTAGATACAGCAGAATGAGACATCTTAATCAACGTCTCCGTTTGTATGTGACTAGAATAAAACTTTGTGATTTACTTGTTATATGATTCTCTGTGAAGAATGTAGATTTTTACCAATATCCTCATAAGAATAAACAAATTTCATTAGTTTCGAATTTTAAACAAAAATTGAAATGATTCAGCTCCTTGAAGATGTCAAAAGTTTCATACAAACATTAAGGTTGTATCTAATAATGATATTTTTTTTTAGCTAAATGCACCTACTTTTAAAAAACTTCCATCAAAAACCAGATCAAGGAACACATTCGCAAAATTGTTAATTCTGAAAGCATAACAAAATCTATATTCGTATAGAAGGAGTTGTAGTGCCTCCCATGAATCTTACTCCGTTTTGTTTCTGTACGTAGTATAGTAACATTGAAATATGACATGCCTCAAAGAAATGAGGTCTCCTCAACAAAATTGTAGTAGTTTCGTTATTAAATGTTTCAACCAAGTCGTATGCATTTCATAGTTTATATGAGTTATTTGATATAATGTTGAAATTTTGATTATAGGCTACATTGTCAAAATACTTACAGTTATACACCAATTTTACAGCATATTAGAAAAAAATTGTTTTCATCAATTGTGCTGAATGAGAAAAGTAAAAGGTGTTGTTTTCCAGACTATTGCTTCCGGTTGGGGATTTGTATTTCAATTTCATAATTGCCCCAAAACATATAGATAATTTTGGTCCTCGTTCAATCAACTTGTCTCTTCGAATTCAGATGACCAGCTGTAATAAGCCCAAAACGACGGTCGTTAGGCTGATTACTATAGCCAGGTTACTTGATTGCAGAGATCAAGTTTGGTACCTTAATTACTTTATACCGCTCTTGATAAAAAGAGATAGTGTAATACAAGCAGAACTGTAAGAATATCTCTCGTTGACAACATTCCTCACCGCTTTCACGTCGTCGTCTGAAATGCTCTAAGAGGAGACTTGCAGACTTGCATTACAACTCAGCTGCTTTCAAATTCAAGCACGGCAATAGAAGCTCTGAACTTGGCAGATACCTACAAAGCCCGCTCCTAGATCTTCCAATGGTGGAAAAAGATATCTGCGGAATCTTTCTACTAACGTTTGCTAGTTTAGAATATATGTGTACTTCAGCGTACAACTGTATACTGTGGTGGACCATAGTCCCCTACCAGGTTCTGAAAGTCGTCCGGTTTAATAGATGTAGAAAAGACATGATTTTCTACACATTATTTACCACGCTCTGCTCTTTTCATAACAGCTCTGCTCTTCAACATTCCAGCAACTTTTTGATATTAACTGTGACCTTAGCTCTCGATGCCCTCTTTTTAAGTTGCTCATTTACGTATCTTATTGCATTGTATTGATCTTGGGATAGAGTATACCTAGTACAACTTAAAACCCTGGCCCAGTAAATATTGACTAACATTTAGTACATCGACCCTGCACAATAGGTCCACATTATAAGAACAGAGCAATTGCTTCTCGTTCGTCTCCATTCGACTCGCTTACATACAACAACCAAGTTGTAGTCGAACACCTTGTACAACATGGGGAACTCTCTAATTCAAACATACTACTTACTCTGATGAGATGTATATCCGGAAAAAGTTACGAATACCTAGTCATTTCTGCTCTGTTTTCACACATGCTACTATCATTCAGAGCTCTAGACGATTTTCATTCATCTGCTATGCGCATTCAGAGTCTCATACATGGTGTTCTCTTCTGATGCCACACTCAAAACATTCGGGCCTAACACTCTATTTTAGCGGCATGGCTCTTCAAACTCTCGCAGTCAGATTGTCCCACAAGATAGCTCTAGCACCATAAAAGTATGAGCATTTCCTCTCCTGATTGAATTTTTCTCAGGTAGGAAGACAACTTCAGCTAGAACATTAAAAACACGTACTTCCCTCGACTTTCTCCAAATGAAGTTGCCAAACCTTTTGAATGTTCAAAAATGTTCCCTACCGTTATCATTCAAGCTTTGTTTCCCAATATAACGACGATCTATGTAATGGACCTTACTCTGCTTGTTACAACTTTCGAATCTTTCATTCTGAACTCTTCCTGAACAATCCTTGCCTTCTATGTCGATCTGGTCTAAAATTACACAACAAACGACCTCCATTCCGGCTTGGAGCTGTGATATTTATCTGTAACATATTTCACAACCACTTAACACCAGGTCTGTCTGACATGCTTGCGAGGTCGAATTGGACTGAACGAGCCTAAAACCTCTAGCAATCTACTCCTCCCTTTTCACGATCATCACAGAAACTTATAGCATACTAGAAGTCTCAAGATGTATGAATATAATGAAGTGTAAGTAAAGCAACCGGATCAACTGATTGATGAGCCATTTGACAACTGCAATTCACTGTAACTACATTGCTGCATATGTAAGATGACTTGGGAGAATTCAAATTCAATTATTAGCCGAACCTCGGAAAGGGAATCCACTGAAGATAAAACATTATCGTAAACAACTGAGAATTACACAACTGTAAGTAGCTTCTCGTGAGAAGTCGGTCACGCAAGTGCTTATCGCCTGCTACCTTTTCTTCAGCAGTCTTACCCATCAGGACTTTACCTCTGAAAACTTTACAAATCAAAATTGCACACGTATGCCTCACGTCCTTACTATCCTATGACTTGATTTCTCCACTGCAGCAATATAAATGAGGAAGTTTGACACGGCCGCAAACCCTGGTTATGTAAAAGAACAGTTCATTAGATTTATTAAAGGGTCGAACGATAGACGATACTTTGATGCTAATACCTGCAAAAACTTCTCAGGGTGAACATCTAAATCAACTGATAAATCACATATTAGTCCTTGTTCATCACACATCGGCTTAATCTTGCAACGATGAGCATGACAAAACTTGTAGAACAAGATAACAGCAAAGTTGAATAGAGCGCTAGATTTCGAACATAGATAATGTACATGTCCGATCGAATAGAGTACCCGAAGCTCACAAAGCATAGATGATAGTACTCACTTGCATTTAGCAATTACTGTAATGGGTTTGTATGCCTTCGGTCCGTTTCTTTTTCCTTTCCGTGATGGAGTAACCTGATTGTCAGAAAATTAATGTGAGACCAATTCTCTGTCATTCACTCAAGACTGAGAACTATTGCAACTCATCAATAAATCGATGATACGCACCTTCCGTTTAGGGACAGCTAATAAATCCAAGAACGGATTTCGAATTATTGCATTGCAGTCACCAAAATTATCCACCCGGGGTACTTCCAACGCAGTTTCGGGTTGCGACACAATTCTAGGAGCCGAAATCTCCATACACGAATGGTGCTGAGGAATTTTAGAGAGACTGTGATGAGCTCTAGATGACAACGGAGACAAAATCCTATGCACGATAGTTGACACCTGCCGTTGCAACCCAGCCATTGCCATGATTACCAAGTCCCACAACTGCCCTGCACATGAAATTCCTGTTGTCAGATCTCGTCGTGATCCGATCAAAACTCTCGCACAGCGTACTCCCAATCGCTCTGTTCCATGCGGTTCCTTAAAACCCTAGATTTAGACTTCAGCCTACGAGAACATAGAACTTCTTCTCACTCGAAGGAAGGTGAGCGTTCTTCTGCTCACTGTGTAGTTTGTCCACGATGCTTAACAAGCGTCAGTTTAGCGCAAGTCCATTTCTGTTGTGCCGTCACTTCCGACACATCCGTTATTTCATCGATTTGTGATTGCACAATATGTATAGGGCAGAATTCCTACTACTCAATGAGTATCGGGGAGCCCGATATGGATCATTTCCTTCCAAGACCAGCTTTGCGCCAAAAGTAGACATGAATTACTCTATTATCATTCTTTAGTGTTCATTTATTGGAAAGGATTTCCACAATTTACTTCAAGACAAGAAGTAAATTGTACGACTGGCTTGCATTACTTCTTGATCTAACAAGTGTGGATCTATGCATTATTCGATTCTTCAACCATAATTGCATTATCTAAAACTCAAGTTTTAGATTAAAATTCTTATGAGCACTCTTATGAATATTACTCTTTGAGATCTAGATTTTCTAATATCAATATTCAACTCAACAGAAATGTTAATGAGAACGGCACTCAGTGTACAAATGTTCCTAATTGTTGTACCTATGCCCTAACATGTGTTTGTATATTTCTAGATATGCTACTACATAAGTCGTGACACATGATTGAAACATGAGTGTGAGAATTGATGAGAGTATGAGGGAAAAAAAAAAGTAAACTTCAGAAAACTAAAGTTTGAAAAAAATAAATCTCATAAAAAGTTACTTGATTTATCATCTATGAAACTTCCACTATTTTCTGGAAAATACCTCCAACTCGAGGAGAAGGTTGTTTCCACACAGATATGAATTTTTTGAAAAAACCTTTACAAACAAATTTGTGATAAAAAAATTGATACTTGACGATGTATAATACTTTCTTAATGACGAATTTTTTTAGTTAGCTCAAATATACCTTTTGAAAGTGTATAATTATATAACTGAAAGTATGAAATATATTTGATGACTTCAACAATATTATGCAAAAAATCTATGTATAGTATTATTTTAAAATGCAATTTCAATCCAGATAGTAACGTGATTAAAATGAGTATGATTTCATCATATTTTATCATTTTTATAAGCATGATCTTCTCTTCTATTCAGAATGCATGATCTAATGATCATGCATTTCATCATCTTGAACAAGATTATGAAATAAAAATCCAAAATTAATATCATAATTGTTGAATTATGCTTTGATTTGATTATATAAAACTTCATCTTACTTTTAACATAATTTTAATGATGTGCTAGTGCATGACATAATAATTGAAAGATAATTGCCAAATTCAGTACCATGTTTGTTTACAGATGATATTGTAATAAACTTATATTAGATGTAAATTGAGAACAAAAGAAAAAGTATTCAACAACATTTTGATGTGCATAATAATATTTTTTCATCATAGAACTTTAAGGATATCATCAAAATTTATAAATCGAATGAAGACTATAATGAATGTTATAATGTTGTAAGATCAAAGTGTATCAAAATATATGAAGAGGAGTGTTATCTTTTTGTGTTAAATAAAGCCCTCATAATTCACACTCCTTCTTGACATCATTATTAATGAAGAAGATGATGTCTTATAATTGAAGACAAAAATCTCACTAGTTTTGAAGGAAAATTTTGAGAGAATTTAATTTTATAGGACATACATAATGTCAATACATGTTGATAATACTGCTTTGGAAAATTTTTAATTGGATTTTTTTTAGAGATACGTATGTTTTCTTATTATTATTTAGAAACTGAAATATCTATTGTGTTTTAAAGAACTACTAACGAAGGATTTCTCCAAGTTATACGCCTAATATCAAAAGCTCTCATCAAAATAACTTTATTTAGACTTGAGAATAATGTTTTATTCAGTATGTGAATATCTGTGCTAGAAAAGTATTTACTTTCATAATTATTACAGATACATTGGAAGTACATTGGTTCTAGAGTTTTATGTCACTATTGGGAGGTGTCACTCACACGAAATGGGTAGTATTTAGTATATAGATACATTCTTATTTCACGTTTAGCCGATCCGCTAAATATTTAACGGATCATTTGGCTGTCGGAACTTCAACGTACATCCACATTGATTAGTGCAATTATAGTTGTTCGATGTTCAAATTGAGAAGATTTTTATTACAAAAGATTTATGTACTCTACACATATTAACGATGTCTACTAAAAATTATTTCTAAGATTTCCAAGCTATTTGTACTCAACTGTATATCGATAATATCTACTACTCGAAGAATTCTATATTGACAGACAAATACCAAAATGGAGCATAATGATACAGATCCGATTTCACGAGATCAGAAACAACCACAAAAGTCACGATTTGTCACAGATTAGAATTCTATTAAGGAGTTTTACTTCTTAGGCCAATGGTACTCCCAGAAAACACCACCCAGCTAGAGCCGAAGACCCGCAGAGCAGTGCGTAACCACACTCACACCCTGAAACTTTTCCAATCAACGCCTGTGGGAATCGCTTGCAACCCCACACTCATATTTCAGGGGGAAAATTTCCCAGCATTGCATACATCCCGACACACTAACCTGAATATCCAGACTTGAATTTGCTTAAATCCCAAGGAACACTCGGCTACTCAGAACATTCAAGCTGAATACTCACAACTCCCAATGCGGTAACTTCGACAAAAAGTAGCGCATTGTGCTCGATGTCTGGATCACACACCAGCACAAAGACAGGCACTCTGACTGACTCCCTCCGCCAAACTTGCTGATAGCTACTCCGCACGTCGGAATTCCATTTCACACTTACCCGCAATCTCCGCAATCTTGCTACGAAGATCTTCTTGCGCCGTTTTTGCCTCTGCAATTTTTCCCCAAAGTTCTTCGGCGATACGAACTTCTTCGGCTCTTCGGACCTCCAACTTAGCAAGTTCTTCCACATTCTTCTTCTATTGCTTCTCCGCAGTTGTGATTAGTCGCTTTGATCGTTTGACTACCTCATCGTACGCTTCTCTAGATTTCTCCAACCTCGTGAGCAAATTCGCTGTCATCTTCTACCCATTCTCGTTAGAGACACGAAGTCCGCCACACGTTTCCTCTAACTTTGCACACCGTCCGGATTCCTTCACTAAATTCAGTTGCAGCACCTTGCACTCGATCTCCTTCTTCCGAAGCTAGGCTTCTCGCTACTTCAATGCCGCCTTCGCTGCCACGCATTTGGCTGACAAGATTGCAGCTCGCTCCCGTGCCATCTCAGTCGCGGAATCCCACTCCCTCTTCACCGCTACTGCTCTCTTGAGCTGCGTCATATTTCTCACCATTTTCACATAGAATCATATCTCCTTGGACACAACATAATTCTCTCTCTTCCTGTCCAGATATTTCAGTAGTGGAACCACACTGTCTTGTAAGAAATAAGGAAAGGCAACCTCCAACGTCTTCACTTCTTTGCCCAAAGTCTTCTTCTCTTCTTCGGATCTCACATCTTCCACGGGAGATGACGGCAATGTAATGTCCGCGGCATCTACCACCGTCCCTCCAACCTGCGCAACAACCTGCTCAAGTATTTCGTCACTTAGTGTAAGCTACTTCACCAGTTCTTTGTTTGTCATCCGTTGAGGTATTTCCTCAGTACCCACAAACCGTGTCCGCTGTGAAGATAGAGAATTTGGACTTACCATCTCTGTTCCCTCCTTCAAAGGTTCCACCGTCCCGTCTGCTAGAACTTTGATTAGTATTGCCGAAGGTCCTTCGATCTCCACAGGTTGTGTTGACTCGCCAACGACCACTTCAGGTGTACTCACAATTGGGGCAACTGTCTTTTCCACGCTACTATCCGATACTTAGATTACCACCAATCCTCGACTCGTCTTTCTCTTTGGTCTCGCGCAAATTCGGGACTGCATGATTGCTTCTACCTCCGTTTCAGCTCTTCTGACCTCTAGCGCCAAATCTTCCTCGTCATCAATCACCACTTTCCTTCTCTTTGCCAGTCGCCGTTCTGGCCTCTCCCGATTCAGCAGAACGTCCACCTGAACGGGTCCTCAGGCTGTCGTCTGCGGTGGTATTGAGGGTCGACGGTTATCGTCTTCGGTCCCTTCACTGGACTCAGCTGTCAAGATTTCCCGCTCCCTCGAAAATCGCTTCTCCTCTTCCCTTGTGAGCAAGCCCATGCCTCGATAGAAATTCACAAGGAAGGGAGTGAGATGATTGATCAACGGTCCCGTCCACCGGGAGCTCGCATTCACCCATACAAGATCGTAAAAGATTCTTGCCAAATGTACTCTCTGTCCATTCAAGACTCGCTCGAATAACCCTACTTGCCAGGCCGTCACATACAGTCGTGCGCGCTGGTCACAAGATATGCATAATCTCCAGTGCAATCGCCCATCTCTTCGAATCCTAGTAGTCGGCGATCTTCCATCCATTTGTCCCCTTCCTCTCGGAACTGAAGAGTGGTCCGTTAGAGAATTCTTCTGTGCGCGTAAGTCCCACGCTACTCTTATCGAATAAGAGATCCCCGTCGCTACTTGTGCACGCTCCCATCACTTTCGCCCAATGCTCAATCGTCCACAGCATGGGGTTACCTCGGAGATACTCGCCCTCAGTCTTGTTCTTATCCATAATCTCCTTGTAGATACTAGCCGAGATGCAATTCCAATTGCATAAAAAGAAATCGAAACACAATTTGCTCAGCTCGCGCCTGAAGGGTCGTAATTCCTCGTAGGGCACCTTCAAGGGTACCAATTTCTGCACCTTGTCACTCTTCTTGGGCAACACCATGTCTCCAATTCGTGTCTTCGTTGCTAGCAAGGTTGGAAGATTCCGCCCTCTCTCACCACAAGTTCCATGGCTCAATCGTCGAGAGATTTTTCTCAATTGAGAAATGTTGGAAACCGAATTTGCAAAATTGAATGCTCTCTAGCTAACCGTGGTGGTTATAATCAACATGAATATCAATTGGTATAAAGAACGTCGCGAGGACATGAAGAGTACATCCACAGCCATGTTTTCCTTCGTAGAGCCACATGGTTTCATGTAGTCATGTATAATTATATGTAGTGTCTCTGGCTTCAATCGAAGAATGTCCTTAGACTCGGA